AAAATTTAAATCTTCAGAAGTTCAATAAACCACTATTAAATCCAACACGAATTCTAGAACTTGTTGAGTCATTGTGAGATGGTGATGGCATCAGATGGTAAAATCTTCTAGAGGTATTTAATCCACTGTTTACAGATTACCTTCACCAGTCGAAGATGAGCTTGATCTGTTGGATCTGGCACCTAAAGCAACGGATTTCTCACGTCTTGGTTGCCAAGTAAAATTAACAGAAGAAGATCTACCGAGCATAGAGGTTATCGTACCATCCGAAGTTCGCGATGCGAGAGCCTACGATTAACGGCGCTTCTTAAAATTCAAAACAAAAAAGAAACAAATCTCGACTCCTTTGCTGTAATTATTGTGAGAACTGAAAATATGTCAAACAGATAGAAATTTATTTCTGGTTTCCGCTACTCAGCACTGTTGGATACTATGTTGGCTTGGAAAATCAAATAAGTTGTTCCGGTTTAAAGCTCACCACGCTCATTATTTAATGGAAAGGCAATTCTATTTCATTACATAATTATTAGAACAAATGCTAACTTAAAATGTATTCGTTGAAGTTTTGTTGCACTTTCTGATAAGTGAGGTTTTTATCACAATATCATTAGAACACAAAGTAGGAAAATTAAAACAAAATAAAGACCAAGTATACTCTCTCTGGAAACTATCAAGACTTTCAATCGGAATCCGAACTGTTATGCTTTTTACGCTTTTTCTCTTTCTTGTGCTTCTTCCTTCTCTTTGCTCGTTCTGAATCCGAATCACTAGCACGCTTTTTTGAATGCTTCTTCTTCTTTTTTCTGGAACTGCTAAAGTAATATAGAGACAGAAAATTCACCTCTACAGACCTATAAAAACTCACCTTTGTTTCTCATCCACAAGATCCACTGATATTGACCGCTTCCTAAAAATGGCGAAGTCAGAAAAAATCCTATCTAATAAAAACTCGAGCACTCCTATCAGTAATTACTTAAAAACATCTGTACACGTTTCACCTTCAGGAATGAAGCTATATTAGAAAACTAGTTTGACTGTGGTTTTTTTCGAAAATTTTCATAACACTGAAATTAAATCCAGAGGGTCTGCGCACATTAATATTTCTTAAGTCTTTTCAGATCAAATATGGTATTAGTATTGCTTTTGATATAATTACCTAATTTTTTCCTGTGAAAAAGGATAAGTTTGAAAGCGAGATAAGTGAATGTTGTGTTAAAATATATAAATCAAAGTAGCAATAAATTCCCTTGCCTTCTACGACGCTCATTACTTCGACTTCGTCTTCGAGTTTCTTCCTTCCGTTCTGTAAATTTTCGACGCGGTGGAGATCTGAAGCTTCAAGCACGTTAGAATTTCCACTAAAAAAATTTCATTGGAAGCTAGATCTAGCGACAGTTCACTCGTAAATTCTTCAGAAGTATATCCTATACCATACTACTCTCAAAAAGCATATTCTTCCATAAATACCAAATGAGCTGGGTCACTTATTCCATTAAATGGTGATTCTGCAAAAGTTTTCTCAGCTGTTTCCTAACTTATTTTCAATTATTACAAACAGTTAGAGAAATTGGTCTGAGATTAACTACTTAATTTATTCAATAATGGACAGATTTTGACGACAACCTATTAGGAGAACGATAACGTTCCTTTTTCCTTTCCGTTCGCTCATCATGAAAATGTCGACGAGTGGGAGATCGGCTATGTGATCTCAACTTTTCATCCTTGAACTGTTTTTCTTCACCACGCTTTCTTTCATTTCCTATAAATAGCTTAAAGTTAAAATCATTTAATAATAAGCTCATTTATCTGACAGTGAGACTTCTTTATGACCTAAATAAAATTTTATAATTTAAAACCAAAAATATTTATCCCAGAAGATCGGCAGGCTATGTTAATTGGAACCTAGTGTTACCAGATTTAAATGTGTGATTTTGAGAAACATAAATATACGCTAGAATATCGCCCATTAACTAGTGACCAACACATTAAATATATATTTAGATATTAACAGCAAATGCAGCAAAACACTTCGAAACACTGTAACACAACTAAGATAATGTCAGCTCTCGAGTTATACTTCTCCATAAACTATTTAAATTTTAAATAAGATTTAAATTAAACCACGTAAAAACCACCATCTTCCTTCACGCGGCCGCTTCCTCCACTTTTATCATTTTCTCGATCTCGATTATTATCCCGGTGAGTTCTGTGGCGATCGTCATCCTTTCTGCCCCGTTCACTTTCCGTAATAGATCTGCTCTCTCGGTTACCGTAACGCCCACCAGTCAAAGAATCATACCGATTCTTCCAATCTGATCCAGCAACTTCAGCAGCCGCACCATTGGAGGACGAAACAGTTGTATTTTTTGCCTGAAAACTTTCAGAAGATCTGATAAATTTAATGACAATATATAGAACTCTAAAAGCTAAAAGCGATGAAATAACTGGGTCCTTCTCACTGTATTTCACAAAGAATGGTAACACCCCCGACATCAATTTTTATAACGACTTCGTTATGAAATGAAACAATTCTTAACGACAACCTTAAGTAAAATAAAAAAAGAGAAAAAATATGTTAAGAAAATGTGGAAATTTTTTCTAAATTAGAAAAAGTACCAGTGATTGCGAAAATCAAATACCTTCTCTTGTATTTCTTTCATCTTTTTTTCTACTAGCGATGTTGGAATACCATCATCGCTGCTTTGTGCTTCAATTAACATACTCCATAATTCACCTGCAGTGAGATGACATGAATGCATCTAAATAAAAGGATTTACATGATTGCAATCCAAACATGATAATAATGAGTTGCGTAACCATGGATTCTTAACACAGGCATTATGAAACAAAGTTGGTCGATTAAAAAGACTTTTTAATCTTCTATCCTATACCGTGCTACCAGTTCTGGAACGTGAGTAAATCCATGCTTTCATTAATCCTATAACAAAAGAATATTTTAGTTTTTCCTTTTTATGGGACTGTTAAGGAAAATGATGGAACGTTACCCATAAATTCCCGTGCTCGTCGAGCATTGAGAAAGCCAGTTAAATTAATCTGCATCACTTTTGGATTCAACGATTTCTCCTCCAGTTGACTGAATACATATTCGATGACAACATCGTCTTCTATGCCCAAAATGTCATTCAACTTGGCAGTAATCCACGGTTTGAGCACATCCAGATTCACTCGATCCATGCAGATCTTAACCTCACAAACTCACTCACGATCTCTTCAAAACATAACAATTAGTTTAACAAAATCTATATTTTGAAAAATAAAAAAAAAAACACTTGTCTTATTTCCACTGGTCTCTTTCGTAACTCTTCTGAAAATTATCAATCAATCCATTCAAATTACGCTTAACTAACTCTGTATTCCATGTTAAAGAAGAAAAAAGAAGTACTTCAACAAAAAACGATTACCTTCGTTCTTTTAATCTTGGCTATATACTCAGTAAAGAAATGAATTTATGAAATGCAGATGTGGTTGGAAATCGCATAACATTAATGAAGAAAGACGCGACTGGCTGGATTTGTAGCATACGTAAATTTCGTCATCTCGGAGAGGAAATATTACCTTTTCGTCCAATGCTTCCTCGAAACGCATTTGCTTCAGCAACTTGCGTTCCTTATCGGTGAAGCGACTATCTTGCTCACTACTTGTACCACGATAAAAGCCTGCGTCAGCCATTTTATCTCCTTGTCAAAGTAATAGTTTTGACTGCTAAATGGAATGGTTATTTGCCAACAACATTTCCTAGACCAAAACGCAGCGAAACATAATAAACATATGTCCAATAAACACCGATCTCAAGGGAAACAAAAGAATTACACTGATAAAACTCAGCAAAATATATACTGGAAAGTGGAAATACTATCAGATCCAAAAATTCTGCAGCACTAGAAATCTGGCGCAGCCTTGCGTATATAAAACAGCATTTTAGGGAATTTTATGTATGTGCCGTACAATAAGGAATTCCACCTTTTCGTGCTTTTTGTGACTATTTACAGTCCTCTTACTGTAAATCCGAACAAAAAAGACCACATGGATTCATAAAAGTCCTTGGTTGTAATCGGTCACTGTACGCGGAGACGGATGAAGGTTACATCCTAACATCCGTGGGGATGATCTTTCAAAAGACAAGCGGGATATGATGTAAATGTGGAATAGGTCCCGAAACAAACCAATTATGATTACTCTATCCCACATCACCACCAAAGCTATGCTTACACTGCAGTAACATCACTATGACCATCACATTGGGTTCCTAGGGGATCGATAGCATCGAACGCAGTGGCTCGATATAGTCCGAGTGAGAAGATACGCAATTGATGGATGTTACTTCTCCCATGTTAGGCGATCTCTGCAACTCGACTGTCCGAACTACAAAGTTCATACCACTGCGCCACTACTCTTCCTACTATGGCCAGTCCCGAGACCTCCCACAACTCTCCATCCTCACCAGTTGATTGTCACATCAGGCAAATGATTGAAAAGCGGCTGGCGGTAATTGCCCGTTAGTATTTCACGGGTCGTCGAAGGCTAGGCGCGAGGTGTTTCATCTAACCTTCGAGCCTTAGCCACTTGGGTCTTTGTTTGGACTGGGCTTCACTTCACGAGGGGGAAGAGTAGATGAGTGGTGTCGGTGCACTGCAAGCAGATGTGTAATTTCTTTTTGTGCTGTTTTCTTTCGTTAGGACCAAAGTAGTTTAAAAGTCCCGGCATGCTTCAGCATAATCCATCAATTTTCATGTGTATAGAAATCCAATACAGAATAAATTTTGATTTTTTCTTCTCCTCACTTTTCCTCATGTGTTTTGTAGTATACAGATTTCGGGTCTTGCTCAGTCTTTCTTTCAATATTAATCTCTGCTCTCTGCTATCTATTTATACCGACGTATTCTCTTCTTTGAGGGTATTTTCTCTAAACAGTATTTCATCAGTTCTGTCTTTTCTGTGTTGATGGATGAAAGAGCATTTTCCGCGGACCTTAATAATTAATGTCTGCGATCTACTTTGCAAATATAACTGATGAAGAACTGACTCAGTTCGAGCAAATGTCTCCAGTAACTGGAAGCGACTTTTCCTACCCTAACCCAGTTAGTTTCTATTCAGTTAATACGAGTTTTTCCTGCTGCCAATTTCATTCATGAATATCACGGAATGAAAGCCCGTGGACCAGCCGTTTGCACCATCCTATAGTCATCCTCATAATATGAGCACCACAGATGAGCAATTGGATTGACATCATTCAGCAGTGAACTGTCCACCTGGCCTTATGAGTTATAATGAAACATTTATTCAACAAACTTTATTCTTTACAGCTGTTGGGAACGCAATTTCAGAGGAGAACTAGTCCATTCTCTTGCTTCTTTTTTTGCAAGCAAGGTCGAATAAACAAAAGTGAACCAAACAGATCACTTCAAAAGAAAAGGTAGGTTCAAACTTTCTGGAAGTCATTGTTCTGAATTGTCTGAAAACTGTCACAATAAATTTCTCCAAAAAGGACAATTAGTGGGAAGCAAAAAAAAAAAATAGTTCAAAAATAAAAACGTAAGAAATAAGGGACCCCTCATCCACTCTTCTCTTTGCCAGGTGACATCATCCGTTCATCGAGATGAAGTTAGAATCATGAAATCACAGAAAAATATTATTTCATAAACTAGTAAGTCCACATGATCCTGTATAGCATCAAATTTGGCGTAATTTTATATAACTATTCAGTTAGTGCCAGTACGCCTACGACAATCAGTCCGATACTGCCGGATGCTTTTTCAGTTAATGCTGGCATTTTTCCGTATTATTTTGTGCTCCAGTTAAATTACTTGCTTTTTGAAAATGCATCTTCAGTCAAATGATCGATTGTATTGAATGAAAGATCAAGTTCGATTAAACGAGGCATATTTTCCAGGTACATAGGTGCTTAGAAATGCCTAAAAAGAAGCATTTCTGTAATGTTTAATAATATTAGACTGTCTTGAACCCGAACAGTTCAAGTTCGAGAACTTATTAATTTCAAAATACATAAATATTCATACATACACATAGGTGCTTAGAAATGCCTAAAAAGAAGCATTTCTGTAATATTTAATAATATTGGACTGCCTTGAAATTCTGATTGCATTTGTGTGGTAAATTTGGTATTAGTCTTGCTATCATCCACAAGCTAATTTAAACATCGACTTAGAGAATAAAACCAATGAACTGAGCACTGGTTCTAGATTAGGATATAATGAAAATTACTAGACAAGGATTACAAAGCAAGGTCTTGATTGCTGCACAGTTCAATTGTTCAAATTAGAAATGTGAATAAAATACTTCAAGCACATTTCGACGCCATTTTGTATGAAAATCAGCTACTGTTCCAACACAATCGTATTTTTAAAAATTAACATTAATATCAATATGACTCTTCTAGCGACAGAATTTTTCATTGCAAGGGTAATGAAAAAGAGAAGACAGCCAGAATAAGAATGTAACAAAAAGTCGGGAGGAATCTATTTCCGACATGACCAAATAAATGTAACAAAATAATAAGATGGTAAGACAAGCATTCCTTCTTTCTTTCTAAGAAAGTGAATTGAAATTGTTCTCTTAATACGAATATCACTGATTCGAATGATATACGAAGGTAGTTTACAGGTATTTATTTATACAATGGAAATATGAGTTTTTACAAGGTTAAGTCTAAAAAGATAAGATATAGACGAAGCTGCCAAAAGATACTACTTATTTCTCGTTACTTCTTTGTTGACAAAAAGGAAAAATTCATTTGATAACAACACCTTTCTCACATAAGTGTTACATTACAACACTTATAGCAAATTTTTTTTTCATCCTCTCGATCCCCAGCCAATACATACTTTAGATGACGGAAGCACAAACATTAAAATGCTTAGTGTTTTCACAATGAAAAGGGCTTAAAATACTTACTTTCACATTAGCAATAATTGTTGACAACTTTCAACAAAATTTTGTATTCAAAACCATTTTCCGTCAGCTTCCAGGCATCCTCATTGCATTCAGAAAACGATTTAACCAATCAGCCGATTTATCAAACTTCAAAGAAAAAATCGGAATTTAACATCTCTTCAGAACTTATCTCATTAAATGCACAAATCATCTACCTAAAACCGAATGCAAAGTCAAAGAACTAGTATTACAATTAACTGTGTTTGAGCCGTTTACGGGAACTGGTCAGAAAGAGTACCAAATAACTGCCCAACTAGTGCAGTAAGTTAGTGAGAAGATATAATGAGAAGTCAATATGTTTTGTTAAATCTATTCCAAAAGTGTTCAAATGAATCAATCGAATTAAAAAAGTTTCTAATGAAAAAATGTGGATATTAGGTATTTAGCATTTATAATATGATAGTAGTGATAATATCTTCAGGAAAAACGAAAAGAACAAAATGAAAAAGTATTGTAAAATGAAGGCAGGTTAAAACTAATTAATCTGCTGGTTGTTTGCAATCTTTTGAATTTGCCAAGGAAACCAATTTTCAACTAGTATATCTCTCAGAGCTATGGCCTGCACGGTAAAATGCTGATAGCAAGAAGAAGGTAAGATATGAAGAATTTGTAAACGATCTATTCTAGCAAATGCGGGATTCTCCTCCAATTCTTCTTTCCAAATATCCAAAGTATCCATTGGTTTACACTGAAATAAGGTTTCAAGTTTCTTTTGAAAAATGTACGGACAATAAACAGTCTTATAATATTAGCATTACAGATTTTTTGACTAATAAAAAGAAAATAAAAAACTGTAATGTTCTGAAATTCAGCACCACATAAAAACCAAGAATTAGAAATACGCTAGCCGCAGTAGTAAAAATGAGAGAAATTATAATTTCTTAATGTTCAATAAACTTGAGCTTTTATTCGACCTCAAAATATCTGTAATACTATACTAGTCAGCTATAATCTTTCGCAGGGAAGCAAGTTAAAATAATCAGCAGTTAAAATAATCGTACATCTCCAATTCACATATGAATTTCAAATTTTGTTAGAACAAATGAGGACATTTCTAGATAGACTTACGACGATAGCGAAATCATAAGTGACAACTTCGTTGATGCGCACTTTCCGATCCCGTAACATTTCCAAAATAGTCCTTCAATAAAATACATGTAATGAATGCATTTATATAATGCGTAATTGTTTGCAGTGGAAATTAAAAACCACTTGGAGAAATGCAATTTCCTAAGAATAAAGTGAGAAAATCAAAGAAAAGACTCCCAAAAAACTTTCTTTTGAGGAATAACCTGTTGAATTTTATAAATTGAGTTATTCAAAATTACAAAACTGCATACTTATGCATCCTCCTGATTAATCATTTCGTTAGCTCTGTTAACTTACCAGCCTTAATAATTTAATTTCCAGCAAATTCAAGACGGAATGGGTGAATTCATAGAAGCATCTACTATGTGATAGAAGAACAAATAGTAAATATTGATTTCAATGAAATGTGAAAAGAGGACCTGGAAACGGTAATGCCAGTGAACTTTTTAATTAGAACTCGTCGATCGGGAGTACGGACGGTGAATGAAAGAAGCTCAACAGAATCATCTACATATGTACTCAATCTAAGCTCTTTTTCTTCAAAATTTTCCTCAGGTACTTGCAGTGGTTTCTGTGGCTGTCCTTTTTCGTTCGTCCTTAATTTGTACAGTGTTTTCGTTAACTTGTCAATATCTTCCTGCATATCCGACAATGTCTTTGTGGTGTACGTTCGTTTTCTGCTTCTCGGCTTCCTCCAAACTTCGACATATCCTTTTTTCGAAAACCTAGCATCCTCAATATGCACTGAATTTTCTATCCTTCCATTAATGATTTCTACATATGATTTCTTTTTATTTGTCGAATTGGTACGCATATTTATGCTCACTAATTTATGAGACCGGCCATTTAAACTTGACTTTAGTGTATGGCTGTTTTTGTAAAGTGAAAAATTCCATACAACTGCAATTCGCCCAACTGACATAAAATAGAGTGAAGCTCTCGACATGCAATCCATTCTGAAAATAGTGAGCATGCAACTTTCTTGAAAGAATATGCAAAACAGTTATTAAATTAAAATATCTTTCGTTCGTTAAAAAATGTAAACAGGACTTGAAAAAAACCGATATGATGTAAGAGATTTGGAAAATTAGTCGAGTACCGATTCTTGACGTACGGAACTTAATGTATGAAAGAGGCTGTTTGGCAAGTTTTTATGGATACAAAAACCATAGCGAAAGTACAATTGAAAATATAAGTACAACACAATATCAGAAATATATGCTACAATAAAAATTATGAAATTTGTAAACCTGACGAATACAAATTATTGAGTGACGAGACTTGGTGAACAGCACTTAATTCTGCCATCATTCAAAAATTTTTTGTAATATAGTGTCACTTGTATTTCTAATCCATTCTTACAGGCAGTCCTCGTACTCTCTGGTAAGTCCTCCAAAAATGATATCCGAACTTTTCCACTTTTTCCGAATGCAGATTCTAGGCGACCTACTTCACCAGTAGAAAGGTAAACGTCCATGTGACAATATATATCAATATTCGTTTCTTTCTTGAACAGAGAATTGCAAATTATGCTTCGTTTATTTTCGATTCGTTCAACTTTTCCAACTTTTTTCTTCCGCCGAAATCGACATATCTGTTTGTCGTTATTAAGTAATTTCAAAAACCTACCATGAAAGACAAACCGACAGCCTTTTCCCTGGTAATCTAATCTGGATGTGATAAAAAAGCTACCTTCTTTTGTATACAGAAAGTGTTCTAAGCTAAGTATTGCGAATTTCACAGTTCCATCCAGTTCCTGCACTACTTCATAATGATCCTCTTCTCCGGACAGTTCTGGAGCCAAAAATTGGCACTGTCCAATAACAGTATCGAAACCAGTTGAAACATGTAACTTGGAACTCTGGCGAAGAACTCCTTGAAAATGCACTACTCGATTCACACTGACCAGTAAGAATTGCACACGGCGCAGTGTTCCTGGTTCATATATAATCGTTCGGTTGATATCCTTGCCAGAAACATTGTGAAATAATAAAGCTGCTCGATCTCCCATTCCTGCGCTAAGGACGTTTTCTTTCCAACGTTGCATACTTCTAATTTTACGTTTTTCTTGTAAAGCTGATATCTCCACGTCCATTCCAACTCTGAAATATGGCATTGTCATATTCAAACATTTTAATATTACACTTTTGTTATTTGTTATAAACTACATATAAATGGTAGCATATTTTGAAATTATTCTCTTCTGAAATCCTTCCAAAACCGATGACATTTAACCTTAGCAATTCAATTGTAACAAGTATTAGATTAAATTCAAAAAAATTGAAGAGAAATCATTAGGAAAAAAACGACTGCAACATGTCAAATTAAAATTTAAATTTACTTGCACATTCCATCGACAACAGTGCCTGTCATTATTGTCCCTTTACCTTTAACAGGGAAACAATGATCAACAAACATCATGAAATGACCAGAAGAAACTCGCTGAGGTGTGTAAACAGCCAAACGCAAAGCATTTATTAATGACACTATCGCTTCCTCCCTTTGCTGCGTTAACGATACTGGCACAATTTGCAAATTTGAGTTTAGCTTTAAGCTAGATGCCACCTTTCTGCAACGTTTCGTCATTTGCTCTACTGCTCTCTCGTCTATTAAATCAATCTAAAATAACAAGATTTCTCATCAAAAACATTTCCTTACTTCATTTTT